CCTTTATTTTTTGTGAAACACATTCTTTGCTTCGCCGGTGGTTGGTGCTATACATAGTGTGCACGTGCATCACGCAGCGCCCTTTCGTCACTTCCGAAATGCACCACCGACATGCCCGGGTAGCGTGTTTGACAACCGTATGCTGCAGAACGCACAAGAGAGAAGGGAGACGCCCATGTCGTCTGCTACGGCGCTCATTGGCGACCACCGCAGCAAACGTCAATTCCGCGCAATTTTTGACGCCCTCATCTGTTCTCGCCGCCGTCGCCGCACTCGCGGGGTGAAGAGTGGGTGATCGCGGTGCTGCGTTGTGTCAATAATATGCCAGTGATCCGATTGCCTTTGGGGTTGTTTCCGAACTACTGAAGCCGTAAGTAAACAGTGTCCGGGCTGACTGCGTGGACAGGCGGCATCCGCACACTCGTGGCATTACGACGAGTAGTAGACGGACAAGATTTACGCGTTGGAGCGAGACGTACGGCCGTGGCCTCGGGGTTCCATAGCGTGGGAGCTCGTTTTTCGCCACGTGTGTTTAGCCCCCGCCCGGTGGTCTAGTGGCTAAGGTACTCGGCTGCTGATCCGCAGGTCGCGGGTTCGAATCCCGGCTGCGGCGGCTGCATTTCCGATGGAGGCGGAAATGTTGTAGGCCCGTGTACTCAGATTTGGGTGCACGTTAAAGAACCCTAGGTGGTCAAAATTTCCGGAGCCCTCCACTACGGCGTCTCTCATAATCAAATGGTGGTTTTGGGACGTTAAACCCCACAAATAATAATAATAACGTGTGTTTAGCTCATGCCTAAGTTTTAACCACCCATTGTTATAGTTTGAATCGTCATTCTAACGGCCGCATCTAACGGCCATACGCTGCCGTTCATGTTTTCAGCAGTGTCCAGTGCTTACTTTTACTTGCGAGTTTTAAACCGAATGGTACGACTTGTCTAAATACATTTTATAATGTACATACCAACCGGCCTAGTTCAGTTCACTAATGTAGGTGAACTTTCTTCATTCTGCTTCGGAAAACACTCTTTATACTTGAGCGCAGCTGGTTCAAGTCAATGTATGTAAAGTTTATTAGAACAGTTGAGGGAGAACTATACCGCAAAAAATATCACACTAGCAGGTACCAGAGTTCAGAAGAACTGCTGGGAGCCTATTGTGAATATGCATGTTGCCTGTGTGAAGCCATCCACATGAAGGCAGCAAGAGTGACTCACAGCGAAGGCTTAATGTGGAAACGAAGAAATAATAAATTAGTTTGGGACCATGAAAAATAAAAAAAATCGCTGAGACAGGAGAAACCTGATGACATTATTCAGAGAATTTTTACTTTCTCTGACCATTAGTTCTTGCTTACTTATAGTAAAACACCTGATCATCTCTGAAGCACGCAACCATATAGGTAACACTGTAAAGTTAGAAACTAAATTAGATTACTTTATTTTTGTGCATTGAATTTTCTACTCCCTCCGGCGGCGCCCTCGTGCCTTCGAAGTAATAGAAATAGAGCATCCGGCATAAACGAACATACTGTTGCAGTAATGTATTGAAAACTAAAGCAACCCTTCACCGTCATTCAGTTTCGTTTTGCACCATCTGCCTGCGATGTATCTTTTTTTTTCGCCATTGTATTAAGCTTCTCAGTACCATCACAGTGATAAAGTTGGGAGCCACACACATGTTGCAAATTTTATTTTTGTTTTGCACTGCAACCGTCCTATATCTCTCTAATTTCGCTTCAAATATTACCCAGGGTCTCCTGCAAGTTATACACGTGCAGTAGTTTGGAGAATGACTGCTGCACAAAGTCCGCAAATCTGCGGCAGGCATCACGAACCGACACTGCAATGCCAAGTACCTAGGCAGTTTATTTTAAAACAGGACATACCCTGTGATAGAACAACTGTTTTACGTTTTTGCGCCACTCTCGCTGCAGGTAAAAAACTGACTGGGGTGCATTATGAGCACATGATAGTTTAAACTCGCAATTTTTCACGATACGCATCGATCGTGTAGGCTATACCGTCGGTAGCCTCGAAGTTGGTCAATACATGAACGGTGACGTACGGCCGTACCTGCAATAGCGTAATAAGCCGACCGGATGAAAACTTGACATGCGTTTAAGAGACGTGACGAACATGCTGCGGGATCTACGGGAAAAAGCGAGCCCTGATGCTAGCGACGCTGCGGCAAACAAATACGTCTTGTGGGCAGTCTGTCTACGCAATTTTCCCGAGACTGTTTACGTACGGTGTCAGTAGTTCGGAAACAACCCAAAAGCAATCTGATTCACAAAACACACCACGCAGCTGCTCTCAGTACACCCCCGACGCAGTTTACCTGATGCTGGTTACCTAAAGTTTCAGTAGTTCAGAAAAAACCAAAAGCAATCTGATTCACAAAACCCACTACACACAGCTGCTCTCAGTACCGACGCTACCAGCGAGTCCGCGGCGGCCTTGGCTGCTGGCGCGGCGACCACAAAAAAACAGAAAAAAAATTTAACTGAGCGCGGAAATGACGTTTGTGGTTGCCGCTGCCAATGAGCGCCGTAGCAGACGACACGGGCGTCTCCCCTCTCTCTAGCGTGTCCTCCAGCATACGGTTGTCAAACACGCGCCCGGGTACCTACCGACTCCGTCGCCTACCGCTGCCGTGTTGTCTCCTCGTGCTTGCGCCCGTTTAGTTTTGCCTCACGATGCAAGTTTGAGGGCTGCTAGTGAGCCAAGTTGATTTAGTAGTCCCCGAAGAGGGAGCAGAGCTTCGGGGAGTTTCTTCGCCGAACGTTCTTACCTAAAATTGAGAACGCACATTGCGATTTTCGGAAAAGCACTGGCGTGTTTGGCTGGCGCAGATTAACAAAAAAAAAAAATACCTACTTCAAGAAACTCGGAGATACTTGCAGCTTCGGGTGTAACTTCATTCCGGGTAAGTGCCATAGCCAAGCACTTACCTGCAAACAGAGATAGCTTACCGAAATACTGCACATACAAAGTTGTCCGCGACCACTGCATGCACAATCAGCGTGCCAGGGAAGAGGTTAAAATCGTGATGGGTATCACGGAAATTCGGGTATTGCATTGAAACAAACTCTGAAAAAGGATGCGAAACAACATTAGTTCAATTTGAAGTATACCCGATTGGTTCGAGTTGGGGGTCAGAATTTTAAAAAATTGGTCAATTCATTCGCTAACATGGTCTCCATCATTTTCAGGGACGCCACTGTACATTAGCGTACAAAAAAGTAAAATATAAGGTAAAAAAGGTGTCAAAACATACGCGAAAAAAACGTCATGACCGGCATAACCACGGCACGCACCACGGCACGCACCACGCGAAGTCTCAATCTGCTCCACATAATATTTTTCTCGGCCGTTTCCACAAATTTCAATCGAAGAAACTCAACATCAGCACTGTTTAAAACACACGGAAGGGGGGGGGGGCGCTGCTACTTCGGTGGCCTGGGCCGCAGCAATGTATTATTATCTCTCGTAAACTTGCCTAGCTCTGCACGACTCCTTTTCGATGGTGAGAGCTGCTGCGCTTCGCTCATCCACTGTTAAAATTGCGGCTCGAGAGACTTTGGGCTTTCACTTGTTCTTGGGCCACGCAATTTTAGTGTTTGTAGTGAAAGTGAAATAATGGGCCCTCGTAGGTCGTGGCGGGCAGCCGGTGCACGCGGTGGCTGGTATACGTGTCGCACATGTTGATTTTCTGGTCTTGTAACGAGTGAACAATCGAGGCTTTCCTGATCTGATGAGCTCGTTAAAGTACGACAACAAAAAGCCACAATGCTTCCCTTTCAACATCGTGCACAACAGATGACGAGCCCCCAACAAACCACGCTGCAGCACGCAAACTGCCGTATGTACCTAGGGCCTTCTCCTGCCATGCCAGGTACCCGGGCATGGCAGGAGAAGGCGACAATGGTGCCATGCCAGATACCCGGGCAGGAGAAGGCGACAATGGTGAAAGTCACATCACATGGACACTATGTATAGCTCGATCCGGCGGCCGGCGCGCAGTACGAGCTCGCTTCGACGCCGGCTTGATACTGACGGCAATGCGAGGCCTTCTTACCGCCTAGATGTTGCAGCCGGTGAAATACTGGTGACACTACGAGAAACCATCATCGGCGGAGACGGGGTGAGCGCGTTGCCGGCGCAGCTCTCACACCAGTTACCTGCCAGTCTGCCGTGGTCGAGCGAACCCTACTTCAGATCGCCTGAAAGTTTTAGACGGTGAAACTCCAGGAGCAATCGCTGACGCTTGTAGTAGCTTTATTTCGTTCCCATTTAATTATTTCGTCCAAATTTTTTCTAACTTGGCCCTTTAAAGCGCGGCATTCGCGGCGTTTTGTTGAGGAATCGGACCGATGTTCAGCGTGGTTCAACGGTGCAAAATATCTTGAAATGTTCACACTAAACACCAACTGGTCGTTGCATATTTTCGCTGCACTGATAATTTTGTTGCCTGTCGACAGATGCTCACACGGTCAGCCATAAAAAGCACTGGTGCGTCACACCGACGTTCAAACAGATGCCCGTACATACACACACGCACGCACGTCACGTCTAAAAAGGGTTTTTTAAAACTCCAATAAGAAGTTTGTAACCACGTGACCTGAAACTTCGTGGGGAGTTTAACAAGGTCTTACCGTTCATAAACTCTATCTTTAAGCAGGGGGTGTTTTACGACGACATGTGCCGAGTTCAGTCAGTACTTTGGAGTAAATAATTGGGAAGCGGAATTTTGAGGGCTCAAATGCTAGAGAAACTCCCATCTCAACTAATTTTCGCTTACAGTGTGGTATCCGTGTTGTATAAGATTGGTGGTGGTCGTGTAGGCACACTAACCTTGCGTTTTCTAATCGAGTCACCCGGTGAGGTAAATTGGTCTACCTGGTTCCTTCGTTATGAGCACTGTCTCGCGGAGCTGGCATTAGCGTAGCACAGGTTGGCTTCGGTCCTTGTATAACAAGCGAAATTTGCTTACAGCAATTTTCTGTTCACCAGAGTTTTTATTATCGTCAAAAACAGGGGTTGCGAACAACGACGTCTCTTCTGCGGTATTGCATTGAAGTGACATGGTGATCGGTGGTCAGCAGCACCCAAATCGTGCCGGACAGTTTGTCGCTCTAATGAGTAACCTGCATCAGGGAAGAGGCACGTTTCTGGAAGACTGGTAGTGACACCTGGCACCTTAGGTCTTAAGCTATGCGGATCGAGAGAAAGGCACGGAAAAACTCGGCGCCGGCGCCACCCATACACATTTTTTTTCATTGGGTCTAATTCGTGCTGGCCTTCGGCTTTCAAGCCATACGCGACAAGATCGCCCTCCTCATAGCCAGATTATCAGCAGAGGAAACAAGATGCATGGTAATTGCGGCGGTGCCGCAATGACGAAACAAATCTGCTGTCTAACCCCACAATTATCCACTATAAGTGAGAGAAAGAAGAGTTACACTTTGTTAACAAACCATGCACAGGTGGCAGATAGCTAAATGCGTGTTTTACCTTTCCTTGTATGTATATCTACAATTTCATAGTACTGTATGAGCACTTAATTACATACTTGGGAACAGTGCAATCCAAGCCTCAATAACATACAGGCGCTTTGCACGACAACATTAACATGCTAGTTTTAGCGAATCTTGACGCTACAGGCGCTTGATGGATTTTTGATATCACTGGAAGCAAAACAGCCGTGGTGTTTATGGGGGCCACAGCTACACATTGTGGCACATGCGCCCCTGTTTTTGTTGAAGCATTCGGTTATCGCCTGGTTGTAGGTACCCCATGCATGACTTCAGGTGATGGGGTCATTGTCTGCGCATTGCGGACCTGCAAGAGCCAGCTCGCGCCCGTCTACGGTCGCCTCGTGTATGCAGCCCACGAAGCCTAAATAGAGTGCTGCTGGAAGACCGGGGGGCAGCTTGGGGCATCCGCCAAGCCACAGAAGCCCATCTGTGTTCAGCTGCGTGGCACCAGGAGCTGCATTAGAGCTTAACGGCTTTGAACCGTCTACCACAAGGGTAGCCAGTCGACCTTGGCGTTGTAGTCGCGCCGTGTGCCAATGGCCGTCGTCGATCCGTGACTCAGACCACAATTCCTGTCGTCGAGCGCCCAGATCGTACGATACAAGCAGTCGGCCTTGGTCCAGAGCGAGCGCCATATGGTCTCCCCGGCCACCTGTCCAGAGCAGCAGGCCACGAGGCTCCCGGCTCCGAAAGCGGATTTCCACCTCGTTCTCCGGGGCACCGCTGCGGCAATAACATTTAGGTTAATGCGACCTTTCAATAAAACAATACGAAACTTCATAATCATCAACCTGACTATGCCCACTGCAGGGCAAAGACTTCCGCCGTGTTCCACTGATTAACCAGGTCCTGTGCTTTCTTTCATGTTATACCCGCAAACTTCGTAATCTCATGGGCCTACTCAACTTTCTGGCCTTTCCCTCTCTTAAAACACAGTCGGTTACTATTTATGACTAGCGGTTTTCGTGCCTAGTGCAACGTACCCTTCTTTGTCAAATTCTTTTTCATATTAAGTACGATGAGCCTTAAGATGCGTTTGTTTTCTGATCCACTCTGCTCTTTTTTCGTCCATTAAAGATTGACCTGTTATTTCCTTTTTGTTGCTCGCTGTGCCGTCCTCATTTTAACTTGAACCCCTCGTGTAAGCCTCCAGATGTTTGTTTTGTATGCAAGTGCCTATAAGGTGCAGTTGCTATGTAGTTCCTTTTGAGAGATAGTGGTTGACTACCATTTGTGCTTTGAGAATGCTTGCCGAATGTGCTCCACAGCATACGTATTCTTCCAATTACTTCAATATCAAGGTTGGGTTTCGCAGTTACTACCTGTTCTGAATTGATGTATTCCTTTAAACTTCCAGTGTCTCATTACCTACCGCAAAGCATTGTTCTCTTCCGAGAGTGCTGTGAAGCTTACCAGAGCAATCTTCCACATTGACCATTGAAATACGATGAACAAAGCGACAGAACAATACAAAATGTCCCACAGTGGCATTTTGCAAGAAAACACAGTCCATCACAATCTCTAGTGGTCAAGGCGTTCATCAAATTACAGAATGAAAGAGAAGAAAATGTGTGCTTCCCGGTCTTTCACAAGTGTTGTCACAATGTCAATGTCGCCTTTTCAGAGATCTTTGGATATCGTCGCGTCGCTATGACCTTCAGCCACCGGAGCACAAGGACAACGCAAAGTGCGTCCGGGAGGATTTACTGGATTTGAGAGTGGCATAGGCTGGTGAAATAGAATGGCAAGAAGGGCTTGCGATGAGAAATTCGAAAACAGGGGCTGGCAGGCGCAGAAGGAGTCAGCGTTGCGACTTGTCTTTTTCAAGGCTGCAACTCCGCGCTTATGCGTGTACTGTTTTTCTACGGCTCTCCATCCTAACGAAGGAGGGACAGTGAATTTATGGAATGTGAGGCTACCTTGGCGAATCAGGCGAGTGAGAAAGAAAAAAATATTGCATGAAAAAGAAAAAAGGAAAATAGGAGATGAAAAAGGGAGAGAGGTAGAGAGATAAAAAAAGAGGGGTTGGTGAGAAGGGAGAGTGGTGCACACGTGTCACTGAGTTATGGTCGTCGGAAGAACGCACCACTTAAGACTGGCAATTTGAAAGCACTGACGCTTCGGCAAGTTATTAGGGATTCATTTTAAAACGTTAAGAGCCCATAGAACAATCTGGAAAGGACGAGACAACAGAGGCAACGAGCGCCGATTTCCAACGAGTTTTCATTCGATAACGAAGAGCATATATACAAGACGAGGAAGAGGGTGCAAGACAAAGAAATGAAAGGTGTATAGGTACTGCCATCGTTGGATCATCCTTTTACATACTTCGAGCATGCCACCACATGTGCCTTAAAACCACTAAGTGATCGAACTTGAATTGATGTCGGAAATTTATGGCGCAAAGAAGACTGAATCGATGGCGCAAATTGATAGGTAATTGAATTGATAGCACAAAGAAGACTTGTAAGACACAGGAAAGCACACTCTATGCCTTGTCTGTGTCATACATGTCTTCTTCGTCCCTATATAACCATTTGCACTATCAATTCAAGTTCACTTATGCATCTTAGCCCAATTGCAAATATTTTTATTGCACTAAATGACCTCTTGCATGACCGCCCTTATGCATCAAGCCGCTGCCTCGAAATATGCTCTGGGTGACCACAACGCTCGCCGTCAAGCCCAAGCGACCGTGATTCACGCTAAGTACGCTGACCACCAAGCTTGAAACTAGTTGAATGCGACCTGTTACAACTCACTCAGGGACGCCTTCGTAGTCTATTCCCTGTCACCCTCCTCAGCGACTTCTGGGTCTGCAAGCATGGCCGGCACCGTTCGAACCGTTAGCTACTTGAATGCGACCTGTTACAACTCACTCAGGGACGCCTTCGTAGTCTATTCCCTGTCACCCTCTTCAGCGACATCTGGGTCTGCAACCATGGCCGGCACCGTTCGAACACCGTTTGCCGTCGGAGTGGAGGAGACAGCAATCGCTTTGACTGCGAACTCGGTCGCAGCTCGCGTCATACTAAGCGACTCCAAACGAGCTGTCTAGAATATCCCGCGAGGTCTTGTCTCGCCTACGACCCTACGGCTTCTTCGCCCACTACTACAGCAAGATGAACAGTGCCATTTTGAACTGATCTAGCTCCCTGCCCTCTCGGGTCACCCTGGCAACGAGACAGCTCACCAACAAGCCCGAAAATTTGTCAACCAAGCGGTGGGCCCCTCAGAGTCGAACACCCTGGTACATATCACGGCATAAACCAGCCTTATTGCCTTGAGCGATACACTAATCCACCCACTTACGTTAGTCTTTCCAAACGGTCTGAGGCAGTCTGGTGTCATTTACAGACTTACAACGTGCTATGCCCCCTCGTTTTTTCCTACATACACCCAGTCATCGATCTCCACTGCTGCTTCTACGGCCTTATAACCTCACTGAACCACATCCTCTGGGGCTGAACGGAAAATCACCCACCTGCCAACCTCTTCCTCCAATCGCCTACCAAAAAACAATTGAAGGCTCTTTGAAGCACAGACAGCGACATCCAAACACGGATCCTAGAACGAGCCCAAGACGTGATCGTGAGGCAAGGTTTGGTACCCTACTTGGCTTAGCCTCCCTCATCCCTTACCCTATTGATGAATAAAAGTTGTCACTCACTCACTCACTCACTCACTCACACACTCACTCACTCACTCACTCTTGTGCGAACAACACAACTTCTTCAAAATGGTGCAGGGTTATGTCGGCATTTAATTTCGTGACTGTGGGGGTGCATCCTGCTTCAATCAGAGCAACAGTGATAGCTAGTCATAGGGTTCAGCTAACTCGTGAAGTTGACGAGGCTGATTTGACACATAAGCTAGGCAATAAGTGCGTTAGTGCACTCTCTGTGGCGATTGTCAATCAAGACTTTGATTACCTGGATGGGGTTTAAAACATGTTGTGGGATGTTTATGGTAAGTGAAAAGATGAAGCAATGCTCGCCGTACATGTAAATCCTTCCAGACAACACAAACACAACCTCAGGACGTCCTCAGTATGCCTCCGTGAGGACAATATGAAGCCCTCAGAATGTCCTCTTATGGTACTAGAGTGACCCTAATCCTGTCCCCTTGTCCATACACATAACAACCTCAGCACATCCTCAAAACAACACTTCAGGACTTTTTCAGTATCTTTTCAGAACAACGATATCGTGGCCGGTTTGGTACTGTGGGCAGTGATACTACTTAGGATTTACTTCATTTCATCATATTTCCATACATCAAAAGAAAAACACCTGCGAGGTCTCGAGTATATATACTTTATCAATCAACAGAGGTGTGACAGCGCTGCACTATTACAAAAAAAAACAAAGCTTGTGGACTGAAATTTATTTAACAGTAATTAATCACAACTGACAGCTTTGTCAGGCATTCGAGTCCACGTATAGTCTGAAAAAAGAAAAGCAGTATCAAGGCAGTCAACACAGCTCAATCCACTACGTTTGTAATCTTCCTCGAAAGTTTGACACAATGTCATCACCACGTGCATCGCGCCCATCGCACTCACTATTGTTAGAGGCTCCGCTCTGACAGTCTATCAGTACACTCGACACGGGCGTTGTCTTGACTTGCCCGAGGTCGGGCCATATGTCAGAAGCAAAAGGCGATCTTTTCACGTTGGGACCAGGCTGCTTCAAAGCACAATTGATCGCGATTGGTTGGTGTTCCTGGCTGCTTCGAACCACACCTCGCCGCGGTCGGCTGGTGACAATGCATCCAGGATCAGTCTGAACGTTGAGCAGCCCAGTGCACTTATCAACACGGCAATTGACCCCCCGCCATCACCTACGACTTACACTTTCACACATATCTCACTTTTAACCATGCACACAAACAACAAAGGACACGAACTTTCACTAGTACACTGCACCGTCTCTGACAGGGCCACCACTGCCATTTTGACAGTCGACTTGGAATGGCTTGGCTACTTGACTGTCCAGAATGGTGCCGCAAAGTCCTTAGTTGCCCGCTGCTAGTTTGTTATTGCGTGCTACAGTGGCTGTGACATTAAGGAACACGCTGTTTCAAATGGAGATTTCGCAATACCCGGTTTGATACCTAGGCCAATTGATTACGCGTGTCTCATTAGGTGGGACGCATAATTTGAAACGTTTCTGCCAAAAAATAAACAAACGAGGCGAAAATACACAATAACTTTATGACTGTCTGAAACTTACGTGCGGAGAAAGTTTTGACGTATGAAATGCATCTACTTGTTGCGCGAAGGTCTTGAAGAATTATATATGTGTGCTCAGTGCAATGCTTTTGTCATCCCCAAAAGGTTCTTGACAGGATCTTGTCCATATTTTGTCCCCAGAAACCACTCGTATAGACGTCTGAGCCGGCGCTAGCGCATTGCTTTTTTTATCTCCAAAACGTCCTTAAAACTACTTTCTTAGGATAAATTGTTGTCCTCGAGTCAGATGCGCTACCATTTCGCCACCGAATCACGACGAAATCGTTGTCCTCAGAAAGCACTGGAAAAGATGTTTCCGGGTCAAACCAGCTTGTGTCGTCCTCAGTAAGTACCAAGGTCAATGTGAACTGTGCAAGGACGATTTTACGTATGAGGACGGCCTCAGGACATCGAGTGTTGTCGGGGTTCACGTTGTTTTCTCTGTCTTGTACACTCTCTCTGGCCATGTATATATGTCCTTCTAATCGAA